GCGAAAACAGCTGATCCCATTTGGTCGCCTTTATAATTTGGGTGACCATATTTAGAAAAAACTAAACCATATTTAGAAGTGAGGAAATGATAACAAATATAAATGTAAAACAAAGAAAGATTATTATAAATAATTTGTTTCAAGCCAGATTTAACGAATCCACAACTATATTTTTCAAACAAAAAAAAAAGTCGTGTTTAGGTTGTTTTCTTTTAAAACTTTGAAAGCAAAAAACAAATACGGCCACCTTTGGCACGCACAGCTGTCATCGCCCAGCAGGGCGATAGAAATAAATCTATCGCCATGAAACGCCGCCAAGCGAACTTGGCATTTCGCTTTGGCTGTGTTCAATTTCATATTCTTGCGGGTGTTTTAATTTTGACAGCGCGAATTTCGCTGTGGTGAGTTCGCCGTTCGCCGGCATTGTATTTCAGCTATAAGTTTGATTTTTTTTACGAGTCTTAACTCTACATTAATGCAATTGAAGTTGTAAAATATGTGGTTTCTATGTACGCATGGTATTCAGGCTTTTGGTAGAACATGGAACATCCAAAGGTTAATCAAGTCAACCCAATAACTCAAAACTGATATATTTGCACATTCATACTTCTGGCATAAGGGTGACGATATGTAAATTTCTGATCCACCCATGATTTATATTAAAAATTATAAAAAATGCCGAAGTTATCTTCTCTATCTTGCAATACCACGAGTTTATGAGAAATAAGAATGGTATATCTACTTTCAAGTACTTTTCGAAATCGCAAAGCCGAGACCATATAAATGCTAGATACTTTGATCCAAACAGCTTAGTTTCTTCTTGTTGTTAATTTTTTAGGGGTTTCTCGATGCACACATTCGGACAACTGATTGAGGTATATCCTTGGTACTTGGTACCTGGAAAGGAACTTAGCTCTACCTAAGACAAATTGCCAGATAAATATTTAGGAGATAGTAAAGAAGCCGACGATGTGGTGTGAAAGGCCACTCACTGGCTAAGTTAATTGGTGAACTGCGGTTGTTTGAAGTCCCCTATTCGAATGAAGACAATTATCGAGCCCTAACCGCCAAAATAACGTAAGCGACATTTTTTTCAAAATAATCTTTTTGATGCCGAAATGTATCTAGATGATCTTGGAATATTTCTGCATCAAAAAGAAAATTTTGAAAAAAATGTCGCTTACGTTATTTTGGCGGTTAGGGCTCGTTATAAAGACATTATTTGCAGGAACTGTCAGGCATATCAGTGATCTCATGATCCTTCACCAGATTGAGATGGCGCATTTTGCGTCAGATGTATTGAGAATGGAGGAGTTATATTCTGTTTCCTTCGACAAACTACTAAGATAAACCAAAGAGTCGGGTCAAGTTTGTTGGAAGTAATAATTCCCCATGACCCCCTGTGCTTGCTCCCCATACTTTTTAGGACGGGACACTATGCATGAATGCCTAAAAAAACCAATATGGGGGTTTCAGTCTACCAAAATTCCACTCAATTCCGTTGCAAGCGACTTTTTGCGAGAATCTGGAGTTTCAACTCAAAAAATTTACTTTGAATATATACGGCTGTGGCACGTAATGCGTATTTCCTTCATCTGATGGACTGAATTATGGAACCAATATCAGTACTTGTGTCAACGGATGCTCTCAATATTATTTCATGGCTATTTCCTACTGGTCCTCATAAGAACTTGCTTTATGAAAAGAAAAACAAGCGAGTAAAGTCGCTCGATTAGACAGTACACCAATTCTATTGTATTTACATAAATTCACAGGCACTTCAAAGTAAAAAAAAATCGTCTAACATATTTCGTATGGAAGAAAATTATTGACATCGTCAGCAAAAAAAAAAATAATGTCAAATATAAACGGCAAGTCCAAGCTGCTTTTACTAAAATTGAATGGGCTACAAAACTGCATACCCAACAGCTTTCTAGGAAATCTAAGAAAAGGTTAAAGTTTTTACGAAAGTTTGTTAATTTTTTTAAATATTGCACAAACACTGGAACTTGGTTTTACACGGTTTTTGTTTAAGAATAAAGCATTATTTTATAAAAAGTGATTAAAATTAAAAAAATTATTAAATAAATAGGCAAATTTTGTCAATATGTGAGTGTCGTATAGTTATGTTAAGCACTATATGTGTACATTTATACTTAGATACTATGGACAATTTTTAATCTCAAGGATTCATGCGTTCTTCTGTTGAAATAAGGTTGAATTGACGTTCCGAGGCTAGAAGCTACCAGAACCACGCTAAAAAAGGCAAAGCATTGCTTGCAATGAATTCTGTGGAAATCAAGGAGACGCTAGATCATCTTTTTTCTTACAGATGTTCAGCTGTAAGGAGCTTGAAGATCCTACAAAAAACATTTCCATTAATACTCTTTTGCAGAATCTCTCTTTAGAGGCTCCAAGGTCAGTTTTTAGATGTTGTAAAAGATTTACTACTTGTACCGTTAAGCCTTTTCGGTGCTAACCTAACCTAGTACAATCATGCCTCTGTACGAATACTTTTCTCCACTACTGTTGCATGCCATCAGATCGCTAGAGAATCCACACGTGACAAATTACTTTTTTCTTTTATCGGCAAAGTATAATGCACATTCTAAACGTGCCGTTATGTGGCACAAGTCAATATCCAGAAAAATACTTACTTATGTACTATTATCGTACATACAACTGATCTACATACACATGTTTGTAAACCTATTGAAAGTCCGCAGATTACCCAGGTATTTTTATGCCATTGTGTGTCACATATTCATTGCATGTATGGATGCATATAGGTTTTTTATATAATTGACCAGCTCAGTTAGTCGGCGTTTGTATTTAGGTGACCCATATATGAAGTTTTTGCTTTGTAAATACTTAAATACTATTTACATACTTACAGATGTAGAATGCACTCACGTAACAGTAGCGCCACTCCAATTCAAAGCCATTTAGGTCAACTTAAAGTCATTGCAGTTGTAAACCTATGTACATACATATTTATGTGTGCCTATATAACTATTGTTCATGATACGAGTATCTATGCCCACCAATCTATTTAAATATTGACATAAAAAATACGTATGTATGTAGGCGTACATGTGTAAAGTTAAGGTTGCATTGTAAATACATACATATGTACGTAGCTACTTCGAATTGTGCGCGCTTTTCTTTATATGTCTCGCATTTAAAGACACTTAATATACATATGTATGCCTTGACATTGTTAGACTTGATTAGCCATTGAAAAAGTTGTAGTTGGGTTAGGTTGTTGAAAATTGGGAGATATTTCCATAAGAGATAAGTTCGGTGGTATATGAACGCTCGAAAGTAAGAAATGTACACACATATTTGAAAATTGAAAAGCTTGATCAACGATTTTGGATATTCAAAAAGACTTGGCATAAATTTTTACATCTTTGAGAAGTGAACATTAGCCATTAAATCAGAATGTTAATGTAAAAATTTGTGTAGTGGCAAATGAACAAGAAATGAATCCAGAGAAGGTTCACTTCGATATATAAAAATTTTAGTTAAAAAAGTTTCTTATTTATTGTCTTGATGTCCTGACCATTCTAGTATACAAAACAAATTACATTTCGCTGGTAAATTTTTTGAACAGCAAACCGATGGCTTATGTTCAATACGCAATTTTTACGAAAGCTAATTTCTGATGTTAGAACCGCTCTGGGATTTAACTGTCATCACTGATGTTACTTCAAACCCTGCAATTCAATAACAAATTCTTCTAACAAGCGATATATCAGGTAAACATTATGGTCATCGATGATAGTTAAGTCTTGCAGATGTTCAATTAGATTGAATTCGATTTGAATAAATAAATTTAACATTTAAACAGGTAGCAATGCTCTTCATAATTTATTTTTTTTTTAAATATTTGTTAAAATAAGTTATTGAATTTAATTTGACTTTTAAAAAGTGGCAACCCTAAAAAATATTTTTCAAATAAAGCCTTCTTATACATATTTTGTTTGACTTTGCAAGCTTTTTGAAATTTTGTTTAAATTTAATCACTACTGGGTACCAAAGAACAAGCTTTCGCAAACCCCATTCGTTTGCCTCCCATATTGTAATTCTTCCTCCAACTGTTTAATAAAATTAAATTTAAATTTTCAAATAGGTGGCAGTCTTTTAAATATTTGTTTTGCACTAAACCTCTCTCGTTTTATACCAATATTAAAATGTTTTGTTTAGCTTGTTAAATTAACTGAATTCAACTTTTGAAAAGGTGGCAACCCTCTGAAAGGATAGTTTTTTTAAACCTAGCTCGATTGATACCAATATTCAAATATTTCGTTTAATTTTTTAATAAAATTGATTTAGAATTTTCAAGCAGCCATCTTTAAAAAAAATATTTTCGAAATAAAGCCTTTTTAATGTTTTTTTATGTAATTTAACTTTAAGACTTAAACAGGTGACAACCTACTAAACAATATTTTCGAAATAAATCATTTTGCAACCCTTTTGCTTTGACACCCACATTGTAATATTTGATTTGATTTAATAATTGCTGGATTTTAACTTCTTTAAAAGGTGGCAACTATCTTAAAAAAATACCCTATATGTTAATTGAATGCTAATTTCAAAGAAATCCATTCAGCCGTTCTTGCGTGAAAGATCAACAAACAAACACACTCACAAACTTTCACATTTGTAATGCCGAATTTCCACTAGGCATTGAAATGACAAAAACTGTATGCCATTTAAAGAAGGAAATGTGGAAACAGATATAATGAAAGTACTGGCACAGATATTTTTTAATGCCCAACATTGTCAATAAAAATTTTGTGATTTTAATACCTAGTGGAAACTCAGCATAATAGTAGTAGAATTTTTGAAAATTTTTGCTAATTTTTCCAAAAGTTCAACACTTTTTTTTTTTAGATATGTTCCGTTTCCCACTCACTTATTTACTTTATTTTTTTTGGCATACACACATAAAACAAGAAATTCTAAATTTTCTTAAATTTTATGAATTTTTCCAGGCTGTGTGTAGAAAATCGGCAAAATCAACGCAGCAGCTTAAATATACATACATAGTTGAAGTTGAAAACGCGTAAACTGCGCGCGCGACAAAACATAAAATCAACAAACAGCAAACGAGAATGGCACCAATGCCCAGCATGAAAGGCGTCAAGCCCAATACAAACTTCCTCTATGCCGAGGCTGATTCACCGGGCGATACAAGTCCAACGCCCTCAACGCCGCCCTCCAGCACAGGTGAGTCAAAAGAATGCCACTAATCTAAAGTGCCGAAACCTTGATTCTTTTTTTTTATAAATATTACTTGCTCTTTCAGCAGATGCCGCCAAATCACAATGTTCCTCACTCTCGGACGGTGAATCATATGAGGGCTATGGCGAAAACGAAGTGCGCGGCCAGCACCATCATCAACGCACTGCCTCTAGTGCATCGGCCGGCTTGTTACGCAACGATGTTGCCAACAATAATGGCAGTAGCAGCAGTACGGTCGCCGGTGGCAGTAGCGTTGGCGGTGTGGAATTAGAGCTGGCGCCACATGACAACGCTACTACGACGCCAAACAAGTGAGTTGCAAAAATTTGGATTTGTGCGACAAAAAAATAACTTTTTATGCTATAATAATTTTTTGCTTTGTCATTTTTAGCGATGACGAGTTGAGCATCATTCCACGCGACAATTGGGCACGCATGAGTCTACGGCGCACCACCACCTCATCTAGGTGAGTAGCTATAGAGCCTATGTATTGTATTGTATGTAGTGCAAAAATGTCAGCTATTGCCATTTCTACCAACGGCTAATATATTTGGAAGTTCATTCCACTACTACTCAGTCTTGTCATTGATAGGTAATAATTTACCCTCCAAGTTAATTGTTTGCCGATTGTTTAGTTGGCGGTTTACTAGTTGATTTATATGGTAATGGTGACCACACAGCAGCAGTCATTCAGTCAATCACTCACTAACACGAGTTATTGAGTCTATAAATGTCAAAGTGACAGTAAGCCATTTTTGTAAGTTCATTACAATAAACATACGGACTTGTGTGTAAAAAAGTTGCCGCTTAACTTTTGCGTCTCCAGTTAATTTTCGCTGAAATTTGACGTAATATTTAACGACCAGTTTGCCTTAAATGTGCCTCTATATAAATCTAGATACACACATACATACATAAGTAGGTAAATCGCTGTTGACTTTGCGTATAGCTGTATGTACATTAAGGTTGCCCAAAAATGCAGGTGAAAAAAGTCCTTTTTTATTTTGAAATCAAAAAAACACTTAGAGGTCGCTCATAGTTTTCTATGGAAAAAAAAAACAAATTTTCATAGAAATGGTATGATATTCTTGAAAATAAATATTTTTAGTTCGTAAAACTGTTTTTCTCTTTAAGAGACTTCCAATAATAAAACCCAAATGTTTATTTTACCACTTTTTATTATATTAAAAAATTAGACGATATTAAAAAATTGTTAAATAAACAAAAATTGTTTTTTTCCAAAGCGGCTGCTTTTACACGGGTCGATTTCTGTCGACTGGAAAATCGACTGAGACTTCGACTAGCCAGTGAATTTATATTTTATGGTTGAATTGCCATTAACACGGGTCGATTTTGTAAAGGCAGCTTAAAATTTAAAATACATTGAAAATTTTGAGCGCTTTGAGCGACATCTAAATAGTTTTGATTTCAAAAAAAGGGTATATGTTTTCGGTATAGAACATTCCTAGGAGGTGAAAGCATTCAAATTCAGACTGATTCAGACTTTTCTTTTTTTGCCTATGTACATACATACATACATTAGGCCGTACCAAAAATAATATTCGCCGTACCATTTTTAATCGTAAAGTATTTTTCCAAGACAATTTGGAAAAAAAATTGATATTTTTTTGCCGAACTTAGGAGTTGACTTTTACATTTTTCCCCCTTCGTCATTTACAGTCGGATCTTAAAGTCTGTCGAGGAGACAATTGCTTTTGTGTCAATGTTTATTGAACTCAAGTAGCACGTTCTAGTATATATCCACTAGATACTCATCACCCTGACAAACCACCTTAATGTCACTAAATCACCTTTTCAGAGGAAGTATTTCGATTATTTCAGTAGAACTATGCTGGGTAAAATTTTTCCTTTCGAATTTGCCTTAACAAAATACTTTGGAATATAGTACAGCCTAATGTATGTACATATGTACATCAGAGTGGTCCTTAAAAAAAATCAAGTAACCGATTTTTTTTCGGTCTCACCCCCTCAATCGGTAATACCACGGTCGCAGATAACACGTATAAATTTTGGTTCCGATAGGAGTCGGTTAAAGCGTGTCGCAAAGGGGTCTCTATGGACTCAAAAAATTCAAAATATTTTTTATACGCAAAATCAATAACACTAAAGTCGAGGATATCACATATAAATTTTGGTCCCGATTGGAGTCGGTTGAAACGTCTTCATACCCTAATGTACATGCATATACATATGTAACTATGGCTTACCCACTTTAGTACCTTCATATGTCAGTGTTGTTTTCCCCAATATGACGATCACCTTCGTATTTACGCATGTACATATGTAAGTGTGTAAATACATATGCACATACAAATGGGCAGTTAGTTTATCATCTGTCTATCTACCTCTTTGTTTTTCGCTCATTTGTTATAAAATAAGTACATATGTATGTACATTTGCGTATAAATAAGTCTGAATTTTACAAAAAACTGGTTTTTGTTTGCATGTCAACTGAACTTAAGCTATACCTACATATGTATAATAAAAACAAAACTTGTTTGGTGCTCACTTTTTGTTTATATTTACTACTTTCTTACTAATTTGTTGACAGAAGAGTACACTTTTTTGGCGCCTAAGAGCATTAAGAGCAGCTAATCATTTCACTCAAACGGTTAATTACTAAAATTGTGCTCGAAGAGCATTGAGACTTTCGTGTTCTCTTTGTTGTGCTCTTAATATTTAAGTACGCTCTTTATACCACAAGCTGGTAGAGAATTGACCGCCTTTGAAATAATTTCGATCGCGAAAGATCAAGTTTCCGTTCATCCGACATATGTAAATATTATGAAAATCTATTTTGAATCCTTGTGGTCTTTTTCTTCGTCTGCTCTTACTCTTTTTATGCTGAAATTATAATAAAGCTCCTATAGTGCATTCCAACTTTTTTCTTATAACCGACTTCCACATGAAAAATGCTGTGCATCTTCTGTAGAATAGAATACCTAGAAGATCGTTAGATTTTTTTCCGGTGCTTCTTTGTCCTCAAAACAAAAATGGCACTCCGTCTCCGCCCCGTACGGTGGATATAAGAATAATAAATAATTGTCACCTTAGTTACCTTGTTAGCTACCTGATGTAGGCTTACTTCCAAAGATGTAAGTCCATTTTTGCAAATGATACCGCTTCCCATCACTTACTGCGTTTTGAGTTTATGTACTCGGTAATTGCCAGTTTCAAAGAAGACCAACCAAGTCCGCAAAATCATTTCGGTCTCAAGAGGTGAGACGATGTGACTTCACTCGCCAGTTCGTCTCCGACCTGGTGTACATCGATGTTCTATCGACCTAGTACCTATCACAGTCTTAGCGTCTTTCCATCTGCCAAGATTTGAGGATATTTCAAAAGCTCCTAGACGAGCGAGGAGGTGATCATCCTATTCGGAAGTGCCCTGATCCTCTCTAAAGAGATAACTATAATCGCGCCTTTCAAATCCTTTTCAAAGCTGGGGTTTGCCAGCATCTCGGCCGCCTGAAAGACTGTAGGTCCTCTGGTCATTGGCGGGCCTATAAACTAGCGAACGAGTTCTATGATCCGTCCCTGATCCTTCTGTGTAGCAATGAGCATATGTATTTGGAATCAAAGGCGCTCCATTTGCCAGGTTGGAATTTTTACCTGGAAATCCTCATACCTAAACCTTCGGCGTAGAGGGTGCATAATATACCCGCAGTAAGGGACATTTGTCGTCATAAGCGACTAAAATCCACTGGTACGAGAGGCCCGAATGACATTGGTGCATCCCGGGAATTAGGCTTGGGACGAGAAGAATATCCTCTGAAAGCAGGCCTAAATTTTAGGCTTCCAGTTTGGTTGAACTGTCAAACTATGTGATGGATGAACTTGCGGATTATACTCCTCTTGACCAGTGGTATCCTTTCAGACGCAGAAGCGTCCAAGCAGATGACTTTGTGAATTTTGACGAAAACGCTATACCTTCCAGCATATTCACGTTATTTAGCCCAATCCGACTATTTTCTCTTTATATACTAGCGTGCACCGAAAATCCGCTTTTTTAAATTTTGATTGGTAATAGCAAAAATATGGTTCATTATTCTCTAAACGCAATCTGTGTGAAAGATGATTATTTTTGGTCAATATCTTAGGCTCGCCTAAGTCCATTAAAGTTCGATGTGATCAAAAAATAAAAATTAATAAATGCATTAATTAATATATTTTTTTTTAAATAAAATTTTAGAGCATTTTAATGAACCATGTTTTTGCTATTACCAATCAAAATTCTAAAAAAGCGGATTTTCGGCCCACACTATTTTATACTTGACGAAATGGCTCGCCGGTAAAAGATTTGGTCGAATGAAGAGCTCTTCGCTGAAACAAATGTCAATTTAGGATCTTCAGAAAACTTCTTATTTGAAAGGGGAAAATACTAGGCTAAATGGATCGAGATAAATGCCAATATATATGTTGAGAAATTAAAATTTTTTTAAGTTTTTTTTTTTTACATTGACTTATCTCACTGGCCTCGTAATCCAATATGCAAAATAATGAAGGATTACTAAAGTAATAATTTTCCAGCATTCCTGACATTTAACAATTTTTTTTTATTTTTTAATTAAAGTGCTTATTTGTCTTTAGAACAATAAAATCAAAATATTAAAAACTGTATGCATTTCCAATTGAACTGCACTCCTTTCTCTCAAATTAAATTAGTTACATATATTAACTTATTTTCTTATTTTGTATTTATTACAGCAATCCTGACAGTCTAACGAATCGTCGTTGGGGTTCTATGAGACAGTAAGCAAAATTTTACAAAGCAAACCAATTTTTATTACAATACGTACATACATAAATAATATTATTTAAGGATTTACTAAAAAACTGTAACGAGCACGTGTAAATAGTTCACCTGAAAAAATAATTTGAATTCATTTGCTATATTTATAATTTTTTTTTAACTTGCTTCACTAATTTTGCATAGACACGAATGAAAATTGGTTGCGGTCATTTTTTGCTTCAGTAAATAAAAAAATATATATTTTTTGCACTTTGAAATATTTTACGCTATATGTGCATACATATGTATGCATGAGTACAGATATTTTACTTAAAATATTTTATTTTTATTTTACGCTAATAGTTTGTGGCTAAGTACGTATGTACATATGTTATAAAATTGCACGTGAATATTCTTAGCTCATCAGTTTTGGTACAAATCAATGTGCGAGACTGCATAGAAGGCCTTCCAAAGTTTTGTCTAGTTATCCAAATTAGCTCTATTTTATTTATGATATTTACTTAGATATGTATATAAAATTATTAGTTGTGTATATATGTGAGTGTGTATGTAAGTATTAACCTTTTCACCATCTTCATTTAAAATTCACATTTTTGCTTTGGGTAATCGTATTTACAACAAAAACTCTCACCCCTTTGCCATTTCAGTTAAAGCAAACATTTGTGCTCGTAAAAAAATGTCAAAGTGATTTCTTAATTAACTCCTCCGCTTCTTCCTTTAATATCGTCCATAACATTACATAAGTATATCAGTTAGATAATTTCTGCTTGGCGATGTTGGTCATGGTGTAATTTCCGGCTAAAATTAATAGCCACTATATTGGCTAAGAAGTATCATTGCGCAATCGATGTGAAGTAGTAAACAGTATAAATATGTTTGAATATATGTATGTATGTATGCTAGTGTTACCCAGCCAGCAGAGAAACGTAAATTTTGCCGACAGCGCAGTCTAGTACAATCTTCTATATCCGGAAATGAATAGAAACCGACTACAGTTATCATTCATTTTCGTATCCGGAAATGTTCGAAAAGTTCGAAAGAAATGATGTTATTTGAAAGCAATAATTGCATTTTATTTGTTCAAGCTAAACATTTGAAAGCATACATGCGTAGTCGGTAGTGGCTGGGCGTGCCGCTATTTGTTAGCTTCCAGAAGGTGCCGGGTTCGAATTCCGTCAGGCGCCTCCTTTCTTTTGTTTTAATTTTTGAACCATGAAAAAGTATCTGTGAAATGCAGAAGGAAATCGTATTGAACGAAAATTCGACCAGAAGGTGCCGGGTTCGAATTCCGTCGGGCTCTTCCTTAATCTTATTTTATTTTTCCCAACCATGAAAAAGTATCTGTGAAGTGCAGAAGGAAATCGTATTGAACGAAAAATTTAATCAGACAAATTTCAGTAAAAAAGCCAAAAAAAGTATCCGTTTCACACACAAATTTTCAATAATTGTCCGTACATACATACGTTTCTGCCGCACAATTTAGTGGGAAAACGGATCGTCAAAGTATCCGAAAAGGAAATCGGTAAACGGACAAAAATCCGCACTTCATCCACTTTTTTTCCCTTTTTCGGATCGATTTTCGGATTTTTTGCTGGCTGGGTATGTAGTTATTGGCAGTGTACAAGGCGCATTAAACTACACTGCCTTGGCAGCGTATAGGAAAAAGCGTTTGAAGCGCAAATAGCCAGTGAGTAAATGTGCTACATATTAAGCTCACGTCTCGTATGCCAATGTTTTAAGCCAGATTAATGGCCTACGATTAGCAGTCGCGGTCATTGAAGTACATATATATTTATGTACAATATATTTATTTGTATCTATCGAAATTGACATGTTTTTTTTTTTTTAAATTGCTCACATTGCTCACAACAAATCAAATTATTTTTTATTTATATTGCTAATTTAGATGATGTCACTATCGAAATGTTTCTGTTCAATTTGGTTTATAAGTTCACTTCAGAGTAATTCACTAAAATAAGTCATAAAATATGTAGCACTTTCAAGATAATTTATGAAAGTATAAAAATGTTATGATAGCTGCGTGGGATAGATCAGGATTTTGCATTACGTATGTATGTACTTTATTTTACCTTGAAAAGCTTCGAACAAAAAATCGCATTACTAAGGGTGCGTTCACATAGTAAGCCGAGCGGCACCGAGCGAAGCAAGGCAGAACAAAGCGAAGCTGCTGGTGTTCACACTGAACGAAGCGAAGTGTGCTTTTCTCATAGACTCTGCTGCAAAGATACCACAACAGTTACCGTCAATCAAAAGCGGCAAAAATATTTGCTTAACTTTATTCAAAAGATTCGTTGTAAAATTAGTTTTAATTTGAATAGTTTGATATCTTTAGTTTGTTCCAAGTGAGATTAACAGGAGAACAGATGAAGAAGTGTACGGGAACGCAAAAAACACTTTTTCCAGCAAAATTGTCATTTGCTTTGTTTACTTGTCATTAGTACAAGACTGATTTGGCTGAAAGATCACCAAATAACTTTTAAAATCTATACAATTAATAATAATTGCATATATATTCGAATGTTTCATTGTTTACTTCCATTTTTTTTAACAAATGTTAAGTTATTTGCTTTCACCGCGCTCTGTTTTTGTACAAAAACGCAACTCTACCTCTCATCGTATTCAAAGGCCTAAGGAAATCTAAAAGTTTAGGTGGTGACAGGCAGTGAGCTTTGCATCTGTCACAATACCGACAGGAGTTAGCAGAGATAATTTCTAGTTCGATCATGTGGCTTCATAGCCTTACAATCGTATTTAGAAATCTTTGTTATTGAAGTGAAACTTCTTAATCGAGTTCGGAGATGGTTGCGTTAAATATTTAACACCAATCCATAAACTCTGTATCGCCTTGTCCTTTGGGTGTACACCATAGCCTTAGTTCCATGAAAGGAGTTGCCACATGTTAGAAAATCGAATTCAAAATTTCTCTGCCGCAGAGGGTTGCGTTAAATATTTAACACCACGTCATAAAATCTGTATCGTTCGTTCGATTTTTAAAAATGAGGTGTCACATGAAAGGCCTTGTCCTTCGGGTGTGCAACGTAGCTTTAGTTCCATGAAAAGAGTTGCCACATGTTAGAAAATCGAATTCAAAATTTCTCTGCCGCAGAGGGTTGCGT